GAAGTGGTGAGTGAGTATGATCTTCAGTTCTACGAAAATCGTAACCAGGCTATGGTGTACAATCTGATCTCTACACCGGATATTGTGCAACAGGTTAAGCAGAATAAATGGCAGGATCCACACCTCCAAGGAATTTGGATTCGAATCCAAAATGGAGAACAATTCGAGAATTGGAAAATCTGAGAGGATTGAGTCTTGTATTTCCGTAACCGCCTTGCTGTTCCTAAGGCATGTGAGGTAAAGAAGATGATTCTGTAAGAGGCACACAAATCGAGGTATGCCATACATCCGGGAAGTACAAAGATGTACCAGGACCTGAAAAGACAATACTGGTGGAGAGGCATGAAAAGAGACGTTCGTGAGTATGTCACAGAATGTGTGACTTGCCTATGGATTAAAGCTGAGCATCGGAAGTCGGCATGAGAGTTACAACCTCTTCCTGTCCCTGGATGGAAATGGGAGCACATCACTATGGATTTTCTGATGGGGCTACCGAGAACCGAGCTGAAGCACAATGCCATTTGGGTGGTGGTGGATAGGTTGACAAAGTTCGCGCATTTCATACCGTTCTGTGCGACGTATTCTTAGAAGATTCTGTCAGAATTATACCTGGAGCACATCGTGAGGCTACACGGAGTGCCACTGTCTATCACGTCAGATCGTGACACGCACTTTAATGCAAGGTATTGGAGGAGTTTTCAGGAAGCCATGGGAACAGACTTGAATTTCAGCACAACATTTCATCCTCAGACTGACGGGCAATCTGAAAGGGTAATTCAGATTCTGGAGGATATGCTTCGTGCTTGTATTCTGGAATTGGGTGGGAACTGGAAGAAATACCTGCATCTAGCTGAGTTTGCTTATAACAACAGCTATCAGGCCAGTATTGGAATGGCACCGTTTGAAGCTCTGTATGGTCGTCCTTGTAGGTCACCTGTGTGTTGGTTGGAACCAGAGGATCGACTGAGCACTGGGCCAGAAGTCCTTCAAGAGAATAATGAGAAGATAGCTGTGATTCGAGAACGACTGTTGACAGCTCAAAGTCGTCAGAAAAGTTATGCTGACAGAAGGCGCAAGCCTTTGGAATTCCAAGAGGGCGACTTTGCCTTGCTGAAGGTTTCCCTATGCAAGGGAGTCGTTCGGTTTGGTGTGAAAGGGAAACTTGCACCCAAGGTATGTGGGACCATTCCCGATCGTGCAACGCATCGGAGTGGTGGCTTACCGGTTGGCCTTACCGCCTGAATTATCTCACGTGCATGACGTGTTTCATGTCTCCATGCTTCGGAAATGTCAGCCTGAGCCGGAAATAGTAGTGCAATGGTTTGACGTTCTGATACAGTATGACGCGTCGTACGAGGAGGCACCAGTTCAGATTCTCGACTGAAAAGTAAAGAGTCTGCGTCATCGTGAGATTCCCCTAGTAAAAGTATTATGGCTGCCCCATGGAGTTGAGGAAGCGACATGTGAACTTGAAACGACGATGCAGGAGCATTATCTGCATCTGTTCACACTTTGAGGTAGGCTTTAATTTCGGGGACGAAATTGCCTAAAGGGGGTGGAGCTGTAACACCCTGAAGAATTAATTAAGATTAATTAAGGTAATTGAGATTTTTAGTGTGCCTAATCTGGATTATTAATTGAGTTTAATTAATAAATGTTTCTGACACGTGTAAGTTTAAATAGTTCCAAGGTATTTAAATTATTCTCAGTAATTTATTTTAAACCAGAAGTGTGTATGGGCGCATTTCTGGACTGCTATTTTAAAATATTGACACTTGTCCATTTTCTTTCATTTTTCTTTTTCTTTTCTTTTTCTTTCCTTTTTCCTTTTTCCTTTCCTTTCTCTTTCCTTTCCCGTGCACTCTCACTCTCCCGTGCCCTCTCTCTCTCTCTCTCTCTCTCTCTCTCATTTTGTCCCAAATCAAACGGATCTTGAACCAAGTAAAGATTTAAAGAAGTTTTCAACGTCAAGAGAAGGATTCGAGGTAAGATTACTGAAAGAACCTCTCTTGAATCTCAAGTTTTTAGATTTCAAAACTTATTTTTGGTTCAAACCGGATTTTGATGGGTTTTGAGTAAAACTAGAGTAGAAATTGGAGATCTTGGGTTCTTTGGACTTGTTTTAGGACCTAGAACCCAGATCTAGTGATTTCCCTTTGAAAAATCTCGATTTGGGACTGGATTTGCAGGTTTTGGATTGATTTCCGCGAGCTTCTCTCGCGCAGCTGATTCCACCGGTCGACCAGTGCGGTCGACCGGATCACATGGAAATCGGTCAACCGGACTGTAAGGCTGACCAGTCGACCGATGTGCACACTACCGGTTGACCGGTAGTGTTGCACTGCTCTATCACCGGTCGACCGGTTGACACGGGGTTTGACCCTGTTCGGCCTGAAATTGCTGTTTTGACCCCTGTTTTCGGGGAGAACCCAAATTAGCTTCATTTGGGGACTTGAGATAGATGGATTAGCATTGTTAATCCTTGTTTTGAGATTGAAAACCCTTGGAATGATAATTTGAAACATGAAAATGGATTAGGGCACACTAATAGGATATCTTGGTCAGAAATTGAGATTTGGATTGCTTTAGGAATGAGAATTGATCCTAAAGTGTTGTCTTGCATTAGTGATCGCTGAGGATTCAGACTGAAGGGGCTTGAGGAAGCGGAAGCCAGAATAGGCAACGCTAGTCCCAGGTTTGATCGTGTGAGGTAGGATTTCTATCCTTTTTCCTTGTGAGCCTGTTTTCAAAAAGGATTTTGGCCTTGAAAATGTTTTAAAGAAAGGGATTGATTTGTGAAAGAAAACGCTTTGAAAACCATGGCTTGTTTAGTCATGGAACCTCATGGCTTGTCCAGTCATGGGGCCCGCGACTTGAGTAGTTCGTGGGGGCGTATTAACGATTTCAAAATGTTAATGAATGATTTCTTAAGCAAAGAGATCTTGTGAACTGGTAATAGAGTTTATTGCGGTAAGCCTAGATAGGATGCGGAGAGTGCATCCTCGGGGGCAGAACCCTAAACTCGGCCCGGGTAGGCGAGGCACTTGGTTAGGTAAGTAATTTGTACTAATTACTTGCTGAAGCCTGTAAAACGAATATTTACGGTTATATTTCCTTTGAGAAAAAGGATGTGAGGTTCCGGCTGTTCTGTCGGGACTGAATGTCTTATTTTATCTACTTATTTATTTATGTATTCCCTCGTACATTTATTATAACGTTTATTTCAAATTATATCCCACTGGGCCTTTCGCTCACATTTTATGTTTTAAATGTACTAAACCCCTCCTAGGAGATTCTAGGAGTGGTGCACAGTAGCTGGATATTTGCTACGGAGCAGCTGAGTTGTGCTGCTGTTGGAATCAAGTGAGGATCGTGGACATCCTCTTGGACATTTGTATGGAATTTGAGAACTTCGGTAAACTTATATAATATTTGGATTTACTA